TTTCTCAAGACAAGGAGAAGCCTTTTTTATTTTATTTTTTTCTTAGTACATGTTTGTAGCATGTTTAGATTCCTTGTGTGGGTTGGTACGTGTCACTAACACATTTTACTTTCTTTTCTCATCCCGTTTCCCTCCATTTCTTGATCCTCTTTCCATTTGAAAAGATCTCCCTACTTCCTATTATCTTTTGTTTTGTCTTTTTATTTGTAATTTTGGTTTCTCATATAAGAGAAACCCTGCAATATTTAAGTATTTTGTGTGTCTGATTTATTTCACTGAGATTATGGTTTCATGTGACATCCATTTTCCTACAGATATTTTTATGGCAGAATAGTATTCCATTATGTGTAGATATCACATATACATCACTTCTAAGATTGTTATTATTAATTATGTTGCTCTAAACATGGGTGTGCATGTGTCACTGTAATGTCTTTAACTCTTTAGGGAAAACACCTAAAAGAGGAATAGCTGGATCAAAATGCAATTATTATTTTTAACATTTTGAGGAATCTCTACACTGATTTTCATGGTGGTTATACTACTTTACGTTGCCACCATCAGTGTAGAAGAGTTCTCTTTTCCTTGTAGTCTTGACAGATTTGTTGTGTTTGATGTTTTGATGATGACTATTCTTTCTGGAGTTAAGAATCACCATGTGGTGCTAATTTGCATTTCAACATCATGGCCAGTGATGTTGAACATTTCTTCATATATTGGCTTTTGTACATTTTTCTGTGAAGTAACATTTTCATAATACTTACCCATTTTTTTAATTGGGCATTTTATTTTGAGGGCTCTAATTTTGTTGAGTTCTTTGTATAGTCTAGATACTAGTCCTGAGGGACAGCCAGCAAAAATATTTTCCCATTCTGTAGGTTGTCATTTCAGTGTCTTGGTTGGTTGTTTTGTGGTGCAGAAGCTTTTTAATTCTGTGTAATTCCATTTGTTGATTCTTGGTAGTATTTCCAGTGCAATTGTGTTCCTTGGCTACAATTTTACCTATTTTATCTCCCAGCAGGTTGTCTCTGTTTTAATATTTAGTCCTTTGATCCATTTTGATTTTAGTTTAGTACATGATGAGAGATATGGGTCTCGATTCAATCTTCTGCATGTAGATAGCCAATTTTTCCAGCACATCTATTAAGACTGCCTTTCTTCCAGTGTATTTTTTTGGCCCTTTTGTTAAAGGTTAGATAATTGAAGGTATTTGGGATTGTTTCTGCATCTTTTCTGTCCCATTGACCTTCATGTTTGTTTTTGTGACAGTATCATGCGATTGTTAGTCAGTGCTGCTTTGTCATGAAGTTGCTTCAAGTTTGGGACTGTAATGCCTCCTGCTTTGCTCTTGTTATCCAGGTTTGCTTTTACTATTCTGGGTATCCTGTGGTTCCATTTGAATTTTAGGATTATTTTCTCCAGTTATGTAAAGAATGCTGTGGTATTTATGTTTGGATTACATTAAATATGCATATCAATTTTTTAAATATGGCCGCTTTTCTGCATTGGCTCTTTCTATCCCAGAACAGAGGTTATTGTTCCAATTTCTGATATTCTATTTCATTTTCTTTTTTAGAGTACTGTAGTTTTGTTGTAGAGAACTTCCTTGATTAGGCAAATTCTTTATTATTTTTAAGAGATCTTGCCTTTCATAATCACTAACTACAATCCTGTCTTCAAGGTCTGAAAGTCTGTCTTCAGTTTCATTCAAGCAGTTCTTCCAGATTTTAGTGGAATTTTTAATTTCCTGGATGTCTGTTTGAATCTGTTTCATGCATTCTAATTCTTTCCTATATTGTTTATTCAATGTTCCCATCATTTTCCTATGCTCCTCTGGTTTTTTTGTTTTTTTTTTTAGCCGTGTCTTCTTTGGATATGCTGAGCAGTTCTTTCATTATCATTGTCATTTCTTTTTTTACCTGAGAGATTATTTCTGATCTGATTTCCTCTATAGCCTCCTGGAGTTGTTTCTTTACTTCAGTTGCTATCATTTCAGAAATGTCAGGTGTGTGACTTGCAGTTTCTTCTATGTCAATGTCTCCTGGATTTGTTTTGGGTGCTCTGGAGGTCTAAGATGGCATTTTGCTCCTTCATCTTAACATTTTCCAGGCTCCCCTGATGGCCTCCCTGATGGTGGGGGTGGGCAGAGTCTCTGGAGTCCCTCTGCATTCACTGAGGCTTCTTCCATGGCTACCTTGATGGAAGGGCAGGAGGAGCTGCAAATTACTACGTATTTAATTTTTTTGGTGTTATTGTGAGTGGTATTTTTTCCAACTTTCTTTCTTAATGCATTTATTATTTATGTAAAGGAATGCTATTGATTTTTTTGTGTTGATTTTGTATTCTGCTATATTACTAAATTTAGTTGTAAATTCTAAAGCATCTTTTGATGAGGGTTCTCAGATGTTGGCATCTCGACAGAACCATTAATAGCAAGAACTATGTCACCTTGGCTGTAGTAATAAAATCAGCATTAGTTATAGCATCAAATACAAAATGAGTATTGACAAACCCTGTGGACCAATAATGTACCCTTAGCTACAGAAAAGAGATTTATAATTATAGTAGGAACACTGAGACAAATCAAATACTGACCTACAGTTGACCTGCAATAAATACTAAATCTCTACCAACAATAGAACAGTACTCAACAGCAACTCTAAGTTACTCACTCCTTAGAGATTTGTAAAGCTTAGTAATTACACAGTATGAGTAGAAGGGCTAGAAGGAGAATGAAAAAGAGCACATTTTGAGAAATTCCAGCAGGCTCGGGCTCTGGTTGTTGCCTTCTCCTTTTGGGGGATTGTCCTTGTCCAGGATCAGGCTGTTGGTTAGTTTTCGCTGAGTTCTGCTGTCCTGTGCCACGGGGAGGCAAAATTTACAGCCTGCTTGAAGTTGGTGGATGGTCTTGCCCTTGCACTGGGGCCACTGTCCAGCAAGGGGCTGCATGCTCCCATGAGAGGAGGGATGCAGTGTGTCTCAGAAACCTTTTTTATTTTTTATTTATTGTTTTAATTTTTAGGGTTTTTTTTTGTTTTTTGAGATAAGGTCTCGCCATGTAGTTTAGTTTAGCTTTGAACTCATTATGTAGCCCAGGCTGGCCTTGAACTTGCAGCGATCCTCCTGCCTCAGCCTCCTAAAGGCTGGGATTACAGGTGTGCACCACCATGTCCAACCTCAGAAACCTTTTTTAAATGAATGTTGTGATAGTGTTTGTAGCTCACAGCACTGGAATTGATAACTGCTTTAAAGAAACTTTTAAACTATAGATAGTAATGGAAACACTTTTTCTTTAAAGTGTTTTCCATGTTTAGAGGGGCAAGTAATTCTCTGCTGATTTTTCTCTTTTTCTTACTGTGTCTTCCCCCTGAAGAGAAAAATTTAAAAGAATGCTTATTGTGGTCACAATTCTAAATTTCCAAGAAAGTTCTCTCTGGGTTTTATTTTTAATGGAAATGGAAGTGTATTCTGTTTATATCTGTTTAAAATCATTATATATAGAGACAAAAATATATACACCATTTAATATCCAATTGTAATATTTTTTCAGTTATCTTACAAAATGTATGATTTGGTAATTTTCTTATTCAAGTAATGCAATATTCTTGTCTCTCCTATATACTGGAAGTAATATGGAAAAGATCACAAGTTACACTACTAAGGTAGAGGTACAATTTAATGTACTACCAATATACAGAACTAATTTATTCATAGCTCCAAGCACTTTATTTGAGTTACATAAGAATAATAAAACAAAACTACAGTATTTAGTATTTCCTTTCCATATATTTGCGAACATTACAGTTTAATGTCAAAATCTGTTATAAACTAAATACGTTGGTGGATGCCTTTAATCTCAGCTGTTTGTGAAACTGAGGCAAGAGGATTGCAAATTTAATCTCAACCTACGCAACTTGGCACCTTAATATAGCCCTGAGTCTCAAAAAAGCCCGGAGATATAGTTCAGTGCAAAGGTTATGGCTTCTGGCTTCAGTATTTATTGTAATTTTTGTTTGTTTGTTTTTGGTACCAGGAGTTGAACTCAGGACCTTGTGCTTGTGAGGCATGCACTTGTACTGCTGAGCTATATCGCTGGCCCTTGGCTTTAGTATTTAGTACTACTGAAAAAAAAGTTTCTGTTACAAATTTTCTTTCAGCCTTGTTAGCATTTACCTAAAGGTTTAAGCAATAATACATAATTACTTTTTTGAATAGAAGAACCAGTCTTATTTGTAGGAGAACAGTTCATAGTGTATATCTGCCAAGAAGTGGTAATCACTGTATGTAATATAAGTAGTGAGATTAGGATTTAAGTACAGCTTCTACTGTGGAGTGATTCTAATAATACTGATGAGTGCCCAAAATAATAGGTAGAGAATGTATTCATTTTCCATTTCTGTACTATTCTGAATTAGTGAGTGCAAAATTTGGTAAGTAGTTATCTTGATCTATATTTCTAGAAGATTATTCTTCAAAATTCCCTCTTATTTGGAGCAGTATCACAGAACGTATGCACTACTTTGACCAAGGCCTGATAATTAGATAATTATTCCTGTTCAAGAATATGTCATAGTAGGCAGTGCTTTTTATTTTCTATTAATTTTGCCAAAAATACAAATACTAATGTGAGGCTTTTAACCTGTGGACTACTACATGAACTGTTTTAGTTGTTAGAAAAGCGTTATATTTTTAAAAGAACTTTTAGAATTTTGCATGTAATTCTATGTGGGGGTTGTGCCAGTAACTTTCTTATTTCCTTCCTCCTTTCTTCACTTTCTTGATCTACATGGGATTCATCCTGTTCTTTTATGACTTTTTGATATCTCCCAAAAAAGGTGTCAATATGAAATAAAATATGTATTCAGATTCAGAGGGTTAAATTTTTATGAGATTATAAAGCTCACCTATTTACCTTAGAAAATATTTTTAAAAACTTTAAAGTTGCAAAATAATAGTGCATTCATAGCTTGGTAATGGAGTTCTTTGCCTTTCTCCTGCAGGCCATTCACTCTGTCGCTTGGCACCACGAAGGAAAGCAGTTCATCTGCAGTCATTCGGATGGCACCTTGACCATATGGAGCGTGAGGTCCCCTGCGAAGCCCATGCAGACGATCACTCCGCACGGTAGGGATGCTCTGATTGTATGTGCCACCTAAATTGTGAGGGATAGGAGACTGTTTCATTTGAGTTTGCATTTGGATTCATTTGTTTGATTTTAATGAGTGAATATTATGTGCATTTAATGCAGTAAATGTTGTATTATCTTTTGAATATAATTTCAGTAGTCCAAAAGCAAATAGTTTTGTTAGTGATATAGCTTTTGTCATCTTAAAGCTTTGTCATCTTAAAGTAATCACCTGCAAGTTGTTAACATATATGTAGCAGTATACTTGAAACACTTGGACTTCTATAGGAGGTAATTTTATATTGTATTGTGTTGGGAGTCCCCGAGGTCATCCCATATTTCATGACTCAGTAGGAAGACTCGCAGGACTCAGCATATGGTCGTATTCACTGTTGTGATTTATTGCTGCAAAAAACCTACAGCAAACTTGGTGAAGGGAAAAGGCACACGGGCTGAAGTTGAGAGAATCAGGCTCAGGGAAGCTTCCAAGAGACCTCTCTCCCCATGGAGTCACATGGGACATGCTTCATTCCTCTAGTAATGAATTGTTCACATGCATGATATATTATTTATCAGAGAAACTCACCTGAACATAGGCATTCAGGATGAGTCATGTGGGCACCCCTTTGGTATAAAATGTACCAAAATTCCACTCAGAAGGAAGAGGGGTTCAGCATAAATTACATCCTTTGTAGAAATAGTTTCAGCACAGTGAGCCAGTCTTTCAATCATAGAACAATGGGATCTATCTCAAAAGCCAAGTTTCTGTACACCAACTTGAAGCCAATTTTATGAGTAGATTTTCACACAGATACCTGTGTTAGGCCTGCTGTGTAAACTTGTTTCTGTACCACTAGTAGTTTAAAAACTTGTAAGAAATTTTTATTGGGTTATTTATTAAAATCAGATTAAGAAGGCCTTCTTTTCATTTCAGAATCAGTATTTCCTTATTAATCTGCATTTTCCATCCCATCAACCCAAGACAATCTTCCTAAGAAGTTTAGAAAATCGTTTAAAGAAACTGTTCTACAAGAAGTTCTTGTAGCCTAATGCTAATGTTTCATTGTTTGTGAAAATATGAATACCCACTTTAAAAAATACATTCTGAATTACTGCGTCATAGAAATAAGGGAAACAATAAAATTAAAAACTAGTTTTATTTATCTGTGGCAATACTGGATTTTAGGCTTGTTTATTTCCTGTGTAGAGTAGCAGTTCTTCACAATACATGCAGTTTAGTCTCCACATACCACTGCTTTGTGATTAGAGACATCTGCTGGAGACGCAGTGTCTTTAAATCTGCCTCAGACCTACTTATGAGTACATCTAAAGGATATTCCTTATGATAGTGGTTTCTAGTTTTTCTTAGTATGTTTTTCTTCTTGCATTATTGCATATGTCCATAATCGTGATATCCCTGAAAATTCTCCAAAATCTTAGACTCTCCCAACCCTTCTGGAACCTACTCATCCAGAAAACCAAAAAAGCAGCAATAAAAGGTGGTTAGTTCAGAAATCTTTCATTTCAAATCCAGATGAAAATGAAACTAGTGTCACAGATGATAGAAAAATATATAGATTTTATATTTTGAAGAGTAGTTTTTAACCTTTTAAAAAAAGAATAGTACAGGGTTGGGAATGTAGTTCAGGGGTAAAATGTGTGATAGGCATTTTCAAGGCCCTAGGTTCAGTCCTCAGCACTGCAAAACCGCAGAACAAAAGGATAGTAACAGGAATATTTTTTCTTTTTAACCATTTGACAGTGAGATGTGAACGTGGTGCTCTTTGTGTGTATACACACACACACACACACGTATGCGCGCGCCAAATTTTATGTATTTTTTTTCTACAAATGAGGTCATTTTCCTTTTTTTTTTTTTTGTCTTTTTGAGGCAGGGTCTCACTGTGCAATTCAGGCTGGCCTTGAGCTCACTTTGTAGCCCAGGCTGGTCTTGAACTCACAGTGATCCTCCTGCCTCAGCCTCCCGAGTGCTGGGATTACAGGCATGCGCCACCATGCCTGGCTTCCTATACTATTAAACTGTCTTTTATCATAATTTTTATTTGTGAATTAGGTATGGTATTTATTTTCAATCCTTAAAATTGGAACAGTTCCTGAGCATTTTCTTAACTTTTATATCTGATAAATTATGAAAATTATTATTTATTTTGTACAGTGTAGTTCAGTTTTGTTGGCTATTTCTTCATGATTAGATTCAGGTTAGACTTTTTCCATCAGGCATATCCTAAAAAGATTGATGTGTCCTTTGTGCATCTTCTCAAGTAGAACTTGTTTTTTTTATGTATATCTTACTGGTGATCTTTCATACTCACATCCCTTGATTAAAGTTGTATATGCTATGTCTCTGTTATATTTTCATTCGTATTACAATTATTTGGATTTGAAGGCATTTTTTTGAGACTTTGCATGCTGTTCTTCATCAGACTTTTACCTTCAATTTTTAGCATCTATTAATGTTACTTGGCTGAATTATTACTGTGTTACCGCCAAATGATGATTTTCTATTTAATCTTATTTATATTACTAAACTATATTCTTATTTATATTACTAAACTATAAACTTAGGTCTTTGAGAGCAGAATTTAGAAGTGGTATAAGTCAGTTTCTAAAGTGTTTGTGGTGTCTCAGTGGAAAAGACTCACTAGCTAAAGTATTTGTAAACCAGTAAGACAAAGAATATTTGATTTACCTACCAAGTGTTCTCAACATTAGAATCCAAACAAAGTGTAAATCAAGCAGATTTTTTCTGTGGTCAGTATTAAAAAGTAGGATGGCTTTTGTTGCACAAAGTAGTCATCTAAATGTAAATGGTTAGAATTTTTTATTACTAATTTTGTTTAAATAAAAGAATGTTGAAATTTTTAAAATTTATTACAGTAAAGCACACATCGTCATTAATCTCTCCCATATTACTCACCTTCAGTTCAGACAACAGTCTTCCCACTATCAGTCTTGCCACTCTCTGAAGCAATTCTGGATAGCCTCTTTTGTGTCTTTATGAGTGATTTATGATAAGAGTAAGTGAGTGCTCCTGCCAAGTGCTGTCCAATGCAAATGCATGCCGGTAAAAGCAGTAAGATATGTCTACATCCACCTTACTCACTGGGTCTGCCACTGTGGCACCAAATTCCACTTAACAGCTACATATGCATATTTGATGGTGGGTTGTTGGTTTAAGAAGTATATCATGGTAAAGAAGATTTGGAAGAGCGGGATTAAAGTTAAACATTTTTCTTCACTACAAGATACAACAGGTGATTTTTTGACTACCTTAAACAAACAAAAAGTGTTAGTATCTTTATCTAGTTTTTATGAATGTCCAAAAACATCCTCCAGCTTGGGAGTCACAACAACCTGGAATCTGAGTCCAGCTTTGTTACATGTGAATATTTTATATAATTTCTGTTCTCTGGGACTTAGTTTTATTACATGGAAAATAGAGCGAGTGAATGAAATGACTTTTAAGTTGGCAAATATGCATATGTAGCTGTTAAGTGGAATTTGGTGCCATATATGACTCTGTGAGGTTATTTCAGTTGTCTGTGATTCTGTATTTATGTCTGGGGTACACTGTGCTTCTCTTCTCATCTGTGGAAGATAGACTTTCATTATTTAGGATGGAATAACTTTGATAGTCCTGGATTGTCTCACATTATTACACGGAAGTAGTCATCTTGTATATGTGATTTGCTGGGCCAGGGACCCATATGATGAATCCTATAGCCCTGGAGTGCGAATGGTGTGTTACAGAGTCAGATTTTCTGTTTTCTTCACCAGAATAAGGTAATTTTCTAAAGAAATGGAGATGCTTGGCAGTCAAAATCAATAGATGTTCACAATAGGAAGTGACATTTTAAAATTTAGTTTCTAGAGCTTATTCATCAGTGTAATCATTCCACTTACAAGGGTAAGACGTAGAACTTTTATTCTATTAAAAGTCGCTAGGAATAAATAGTACCAAAATGAACATAAATAAAAGTCTGTTTAATAAGTTAAGGAAAAAACATGCAAATAATTCCATGTGTCTACTGCTCTAGACTGAGAGTGAAAGTGCAGTGTAATAACTACATCAGTTGGAAAAATACGTCCTACGTTTTAATTGGCAAAATTATTAAAACTGAAATTTTTTCAGTAGTTTTCATTTTTGCACTGATCTTCATTCAACAGACATTTATTTAATACCTTCTATGTTTTAGAGATTAAATGGTGGGAAGATATTGCCTTTTTAGAGCTTGTAATCAGGTGAATAAAAATGATGTATAAGTTAGCACCATAAATATTGTGATAAGTGCTGATAAAGACACATAATACAGTATGGAAACAGATAGTAGTGGCTGTGGTTTTGAGTGCAGAGTGCAGGAATACTTTAGAAATTTATGGCCTTTGTGTGTCTTAAAGGGACATGTGCATAAGAAAAGAGTAGTGAGAAGCCACAGGCACAAAGAAGAAATCAAAACTGCTAATAGTCTGATGTAGCTAGAGTTTAAAATTTCCTTGAATGAGTAGCAGGAAAAACAGCCGCATACAGAGACAAGATTATCTATCACAGTATGAAGTTTGAACTTCATGATGGAGACCTAAATGAATGTACAGTGTGAAACATACTGTTTTCGTCTTGAAAACATCATATTTGTATCTTGAAAATATGACTTTAATGGTAGTACACTAGAGGATCTGAGGTCAGAAGAGGGTGGCCAATTAGGAAGCTTTTACATTTATAAACAGTAAATAATAAAGATTTCAGTTGTGGTAGAGGACATGAGAAGTGAAAATGTCGTGGATGACATTCTGGTACTAGTGCTTTGGTTTTTTTTTTTTAACTTTTGTTTTGTTTTTGTTTTTTTGAACCAGGAATTGAACTCTGGACCTCATGCTTGCTAGGCAGGTGCCATGCCACTGAGCTGTGTCCCTGACCCTTCTGGTACTGGTGTTAATAGGATTTAAGCCATTTCATTGTGGCGGTGTAGTGGAGTCTGGG